TCTAGGCTGTCTTCAATCCCTGAGATTCGATCTTCTGCATGGTCTAACCTGCTGTCAAGACTCTCTACTTTGTTTTTTTATCTCTTTTCCTTCTAATTGGTCAGCTTTGATGGCTTCAAGTTCTTTGTTGAAGCTCTGTTTTAGGTCTTGTATGAATTTCTTTACTTCCTTAATTTGGTGTTCAGTGTTTGTAGAACAGTATCCTTGAGCAGAAAAGCTCATTGACAGCACCCAGGCGCTGAGTTCTAACCCTAGGACTGGCACAAAGAAAAAAAATCAGCTGCCCATGTCATTGTAGCCCCTCAGTACGGTATTTTCAAAAAAAAAACAACGAAATCAGCTGGCCACAGGCTACTGTGGAAAGAACTCCATAAATTGGTGCTTTGGTTCACATACCCCTTATTTCATATATTACAATCTGCTGTATTTAGAGAATGCATTTTGAAATTTATCCATTTTTTAATCGTTTCTGTAGAAAGAGCATTAAGGTCATCTTTCCTAGAAATGGAAATTTTTTTGACTCCATGAAGAAGACAAGTTGGTACTAGTGACTTACTGTCATAGATCCCATTTATGATACTAGGTCAAATCTAAAAAAGAAATACAATTTTCCGTTTGATTTGTTTTAGAATCTCAACAGTGGGGACAACCTTGAGTACTTATTTTGTTTTCTAATAGGAAGTGGTCAGCAATGAGAGAATATTGTGAGGATCAAAGCCACTTACAATTATGCTGGGAGTAATACAGATACCCAGAGCTATTAGATTACAGTTCCTTGAATATCTCACCTATTTTTAAAATTTGACCTTCTATAAACTCTTCCTTGTTTGATGTCCAGCAGCCTAGTTCATCCTCCTCCTCAAATTAAAACCATACGATGGAGAAATAAAGATGAAAGAAAGAAGGGGAAAGAGGGACAGAAGGCTAAAATGAATGTGGGAAAGAATAAGCTCTGTATTCAACATCACAATGGGTATGTGTGTGCCTGCACATACATGAAACACACACCAGTATGTTTAGGTTGTTTCCTAAATCTAAACATAAGTAAATTTTTGATCATGGTGGTAAATGATGTGAAGGCCAACTTATAACAAAATGAGTATGATTATTAGAATAAAAGTTCTTTCCCAGAAATGGGGCTCAAGATAATGAGAAGTGATCCTCCTTAGACATAATGCTCCAATTCTTACTGCAAACATGATAGCCAGGCATACAAAGAAAGTTCTTCTTTTGAATTGAAGGATGAAGGCAGACTATTGCTATAATTGAAACCAATCAAAACCAGACAAAAGAAACTACACCCACACAATACAACATTTTCTCACAGGTGATTGGCAATTCATTTTGTGGTCCTAGCTACTCAGGAGACGGAGATCTGAACACTGCAATTTGAGTCCAGACCAGTCAGGAAAGTTTGTGGAACTTTTATCTCCAATTAATCACCCAAAACATTAGAAGTAGAGTGGTGGCCCAAGTGATAGAGCGCCAGCCTTGAGGGAAAAAGCTTCAATCAATACCCATTACTGCCACCAAAATTAGCCTCATCATTTTTATTGTTTTATTTTTTAAGTTTAAGTTTTATTGGAAAGATGATGTACAGAGGGGTTATAGTTACATAGGCATTTTTTCCCACTTCATCCCCTCCTGATATCCCTTCCTCCCAAGCTGTAAAGTTCATTTCCAACATAGCGTCTGGTGAGTATCACTGTTGAATTGGGTCATCTATTGTCCCACACCGTTTCTGTAATTCCCCTTCCCTTCCCCCCTGTCAGATAAACTTATAATCAAGACAAAGCGTAGAGAAAGAAGAAACAGTGACGACATGGAATAAACCAAAGGAGAAAAAAGAAAGAAAGAAGAAATAACTGCAAACAGTACAATAAAAAACCTTTTGTTTCCATTTCTTAAAGTTCATTTCGATAGACATCATTTTATATGGCCCTATGTATATAGCTACTGAACCATTGGGATCCTCTCCTATGAATATCCTCCTTTGTTCTCAGGAAGCAATTAAATTAAGTTTTATTTAATACTAGACATTCAGTGTTTCTTTTTCAAATTTATTGCCGAATAAGTAATTTTGTAATAAAGAATTTGGTCTCCTTCATTTGATCCCTTACATACCTGCACATTTTCTCTTTCCTATTTCTTTCATTACTCCTAACTTAAGGTGCTTGCAATTTCCTTTTCCTTTGAAGCATTCTACATATGCTTGTTGGCATGGGCTTTCTGAAAGACCAGTTCTTAGGTGATTCTACTCAGTGAGATGTCCTAGGGCTTCCTGTGGCCTACACAGGAAAAGGCAAACACTGGTGAATTCATTGCACTCCCTAGATTGCTCTCCCTGCAGCTTGGCATGGGTCAGTGTCAGAAGTCCTGTGGTGTCCTTTTGACACAGTCCCTGATGTAGTCCCTCATGAGCCCATGAATAGGAGATGTCTTCCCACTGTCCATGGAGCTGAGGATATTTTATGAAGTGAAATAAGCCAGGGATGGAAAGACAGATACACACATGCTTACTATCTATGTAGAAGCTGAAAAGGTGTTCTTGTATAGAAAAAGATAGGGTTATTGACGTCTCAGAAGGATGTTGGGGAGGGAGGGTGGAAAGAGAATGAAAACCTTTGAATGTTCTGAAGCACAGGAGGATAACTGTGATTGACCACAATTAATTGTGCATTTAAAACCAAAAGCTTGTTGAGAGCATTTTGAATGTTTCCAACACAAAGAAGTAAAGCATTTAAGCGATGAATGTGTTAATTTCCTTGATTTGACCATCACACATTGCATACATGCATGTTACACTGTGCCATGTAAATATACACAGTGTCTATGTGTAAATTAAAGATGAAAAATATATAAAATTAACTATCAACTATCAATTAATATACTAAATGTATTTTGATATATTAACTTATTAATATAGTAATATCACTGCAATATAAATTACGTTATTTTATCTATCTGTCTTCATTTATTTATTTTAAATCTGATGTACAGAAGGATAACAGTTATATAAGTCAGGTTCTGAGTACATTTCCTTTGGAATAGTGTCATCCCATCCCTCAGTCTCTTGCAGTCTCTGCCTCCTGTCTCTCCCTGCAAGTTGTATAGATCACTTTTTTTCTATTAGTAAATTGCTCTTTATGTAGCTGAAGACAATTTTTTTATATTATATCAGAAATAAATATTAATGGTATGCCTTTTAAACACTAGCACTAAATATTAAATTACACAAAAAGTTAAAAAGAATTCAACAAAATGATACCTAATTTTAAATAAAAAATTGACAAGCATAACAAACTATAGATCAGTATTTAACAAATATATTGATTTCAACATAAAGGTAGAATTCAGTGCAAATGGATTATATGTAACAAATTGAATTATTCTAAATGCTGATCCAAATTGTCATGACCGAACAAAATACACTCAAAGTCTTAAATCTTGAATGACACTACCACAAATTTTAATCAAAGAAAAGGTTACAGAAAATAAAATGGGAAAACAAAGTTGTAGCATGACATGTGACACACTCCTGTTATTAAATCTACTTAAGCCACTTTTTTCCCCCAATCCTGAGGCTTGAACTCAGGGCCTGGGAACTGTCTCTGAGCTTCTCTTGCTCAAGGCTAGCACTCTACCACTTGAACCACAACACCATTTCTGGCTTTTTCTCTTTATATGGTACTGAGGAATCAAACCCAGGGCTTCATGAACACTAAGCAAGCATGCTACCACTAAGCCACATCCCCAGCCCATGTAGATCACTCTTAACACAGTGTCCAGTGAACACCACTGCTGTACTTTTTCACCCTTTCCCCTTGAGGTCTATGCTGTCCCCCCAAGATAGACACACAGAAAAACTGTACAGAAAGAAAATAAAACAGAAAAAAACCACCACAACAAAAACATTATTTCTATACCTGGAGTTTGCATATATATATATATATATATATATATACATACATACATACATACACACATATATACATATATATTTTCTTTTGGTATGTGTGTATTACAACAGTAAGGGAAAGAAGTTGAATCAGAAAGCTTATGTACTCTGTGGCTGGAGGCAGAAGGCTTTGGGGAAAAGACAAAACACTGGAGGTGACAAACATGTCAATGATTGCCAGGAACAAGAAGGAAAGAGAGAGGGCAAAAGGGAGGAAAGAAAGGAACGAGGAAAAGAAAAAAGAGGAAAACACAGGGTATATGGGACAGTGCCATGAAATAGTATAGGAGGAAAATTTATAGCTAAGAGTGCATGCTTAAAAAAAAATCAGAGATCTCAAATAAATAACTGGTGGCACACCGAGCTCTTAGAAAAATAATAACAACCAAACCCCACACTGGTAGATAGAAAGAAATAAGAAAGTTCAGGGAACAAGGAATGAAATAAAGGCTAAAAGAATGATTCAAGGAATCAAGGAAACAAAGGGATGATTGTTGGAAAAAATGAACACAGTTGACAAACCCTTACCCAAATTAATCAACACAAACATAGACTATCAAAATAAATATCATTGTAATTCAGGGGACTGTCGGGGTATATGTCAGTCACTTGTCTTGCAGTAAACTAGAATATTGAGGCAAATGGATAATCCTATAGATGATTAGGACCTGCCAAATGAACCTATGAGGTATGAACTACAAACATATGGATAAGAATCAACGAAGCCCTGGGAAGGAGGAGACAAGTGGACAAGCAGTGGGAACCTGCACTAGAGTCCAAAATGTCAGGTCACAATTGGTAGGGGACAGCTATAGCCTGAGGGCAGAGGGAGCTCGAGGCTCTGAGGGAGTCCCTGGAGGGGAGGCTAGTTTGTCCCGCGTCAAGTAGCATTGTGACAGCAGGATAGGTTGTGGGTGAATGAGTCTGAGTGTCTTAGATGGGGGTGAGGAATGTATGGGGAGACCGGGGCCAGTGTAGTCAACAGGGGCTTGGCCTCTGACCAGACAGACCAAGGGGAGACATGTGCACAGGGTGGCCAGCCTTAGGATTTGCATGATGTACTTCTCTTCGTGTGAAAGAGGCTGGAGCTGGATCCCTGCTTGACGTTTGTCCTCAGGGGGAAGGTGTACTTCCGAAGCACCACATGGTAGAAGTCCATAGTCTTCAACGCATAGAATACATTTGCATCATCAGGGATCCTCAGCTCTGTTGGAAGAGGAATAGAAACCTTGTTCACAGGACGGTCTATTATAAGTCAAGTATGAGTTAGGCCCTGAATTCCCTCCAATTCGGGGCCAGGATCACCAAGGTCCTGTGAGTCCTTCCTGGGAACAGATTCTGCGGAAATCTTCCTTGCTTAGAAAAGAATTTTAGATTCTAGCTCATGGCAGCTGAGGGTGGAAATCCATAGGCCATTCTCTTTCTGTCCTCCCTCCTGCCATAATTATGAACATCTCCAAATACAACAGGCTTTTGCAAATCATCTAGAGTAAGTCCTGTTGTACAGAAAACCAGGATTCCATAGACCACAAAAAGAAAGCACTGAATTCAGGTTTCTCACATTGAGTTCCACGGGCTTCCAACCCTGTGTTCCCTAAACAGCCAGTAAGTCTTGCCTTTAGGCTCCTATTTCTCCCCAGTCTCCTCTGTCAGGGAATCTTCTAATGTCAACCAAGTCTAGGCTGAAAACACTGTTGCTTCTTATCCTAGTTCCTGAGCCTCCCTGGGCCTGTGACTTACTTGGCTGGGAGAGGAAAACCCCATGCCGCTGCCACAATGAGAATGGTCATGGAGGTAAGAAGGAGTTTAGAACACACCCTGCATGGAAGTTGAAATCAATGCTGGGCATCTCCACAAAGAACTTGATAGATTCTTCAGCCCATTGCAAACTCAACAAAGCAATGACACTATGGCCCAGTATCCTTTGTGTTCCAGGTATATGTGATCACTCTGTGTGCTGTATATAATCTGTCTGTCTTCTCCCTTTCCATCTGACTCTCTCTCTCTCTCTCTCTCTCTCTCTCTGTATGTGTGTATCTATCTCACTGTCTCTAGCTCCTCAATCTAACATACTGTCTGCTGGAGGGAGGCTGGTTTTGGCATAGCTGTCTAACTTAGGGCCTTTGCCTTGTTCATGACCAGTTTCTTCAAGTTTTGTGCTCTACCACTTGAGCTGCATCTCCACTTCCTGATCTTTTGTGGTTAATTGGAGAAAAGGATCTCAGACTTTCCTGCCCAGGCTGGCTTCAAACCTAGATCCTCAGAACTCCACTTTCTGATCAACTGGGCTTACAAGCTTAATCCCCAGGGAGTTGGCTTCTCAGCTAGTTTTGAATAGGAACTCACAGGCAGAAATTGAGGAACTTTCCTATGGTCTCTGAGATTTCACTAGCTCTCTCAGGGAATGTACTATTCCTTGACTTGGTTCATATTCCTCTTTCTAGAACAGAGAATCAGCTACGAATATGTACTTTGATGTAATAATGTTGGATTATGGCTGTCAGGGAGCATGATTGGAATGGACTGGGGAAAGTGCAAAGTTCTCATGAGTGTTAGGCACACACATTTTTCAAATGAGCTACACCCAAGTCTCAGGTTCTTTTGTTTGTTTGTTTGTTTGTTTTTGGGTCTGGTCATGGGGCCTGAACTCTGGGCCCAGGCACTGTCCCTCAGTTCTTCAGCTCAAGGCTAGTGCTCTACCACTTGAGCCACAGCGCCACTTCCGGCTTTTTCCTTTTTGCTTATGTGGGTGCTGAGGAATCGAACCCAGAGCCTCATGCATGCAAGGTAAGTACTCTACCACTGAGCCCCCTTCCCAGCCCCAAGTCTCAGTTTCTTTATGAAGTCATGTCTCCACACTGGAGCAAGAGAAAGTCTTTTCTTGTGAGCAAAGACACCGCTCAGACACAGCAGCTGCATTCTCTCTAGTCCTCACTGATGGTCTTTCTGCACTGGCGGTTTCCTCCTCAGGCAGGACAAGGACAGGCATATCCATGTACTACCAGGGCAGTTAGGAGACTTGCAGCCTCCAGGGCTGGCTTGGGGCCTGGTGTCTAGTGCCTACACTTATGCTGCTGTATCTTGGAGGGGAGGCTCTTTCTTCTGCAACCTGATTCTTTCCTTTCCCTGGCTGTTTGTTTTGGACTCACTTTGATCCTGGGAGATGATCTGCACCAGCTCTAAGTCTTCTGGCTTGTATCTCCGTACCCTGAACTTCCTCATGGCCTTGAGGATGACGTCTCGGGTCTTCTCCTGGTTGGTCACCTGGGTCAGAGCAGGAAATTGGCCTTTAGGACTGGTGCCCAGTATGCCCTCTCTGAGGTCAGTGGCCACAGATTCTGTGGAGCTATCTGAATGTAACCAAGAGAAGTCCCATGTGGTGTGATATGGGTGTTTCAACTCTCCCTGAAAGGGTTCTCCATGCAACAAAGATGGTTCTTTCTCCATGCTTTGTAGAGTCTACCATGTCCTCCCCTCTCTGTGTTGCAACTGTTTGCCCCTTAGGGTAAAAGAAGATGTGTGCATGGTGAAAGAATACACAACGGACTCCAACAACCCCAAGAGAGGTTGGTGCCAGTCAAGTGTCTAGTGCCTCCTAGAAGCCAGGCCTGCTCTGAGTTGGAGGATGCAGTAGTGAGTGACACCTCCTGGACCCTTGTTTTGTTCCCTAAGGTAGAGAACCCAGAGGAGAGGAAGACATAGTCTCCCCAGACGGCAACTAGTGACAGCTATTCTAGGTTCTGGCTGTGAGAAGGCAGAGTCGGATGGAGTATCCTGGACACCAGACCCAGCATGATGAAGGAGGGGCTAAGCATGACTTCTGCCCAACTGAAGATCTTGAAGAAGAGAAAGACCTCTGTCTTGTGAGTCGATCAGTCTTGAGTTGGCTCCATGGGGAGCAATACCCAGACTCAGAGAGTTCTGGTCACCTCTCAGACCACAAGTTCACTGTGGCCCCTGACCTCCAACCTACATGTGATTGTAACTGCACGCAGTCTCCTAAGAAGTGTTCCTGGGGCATTTCTGAGACAGGCAATTTTCTCCCCCAAGAATTACCTTTATTCACTGCTAACTTCTGAACCAAACACCAGTGTTTAAGTCTTAAGCAGGGAAAGAGAAGAATGTCAGTTACACTCTGCCCTGCAGATGCCAGGACTTCATGTAGCTGAGCCCCTTTTCTTCCTCCCAGGACTGTCCCCAACTGGAGGATCCATTCTCACCTGGAGGATGGGCACATTTTTGCCTCCCTCCTTTCAGGCCCAGTTCTGAGCACTGTGATCTCGCTCTGTCCCTTGGCCCCTCGCGGGATGGGATGGTCCATGGGAAATCACGAAGGTGAGATGTGTGTCCTGCCAGGTTGAAGACACCAAGGGAGAATCCTTCCCCCCAACGTACCAAGATGCTTCTGCATAAACGTTTGTTTTCCACAGGCAGGATCACCCTGATGACACAGGAGTCTCCCTGCCTGGTATATGGATGCCGGGAGGAGCTGTCACTGGTGTGTCCTGAAACGCAGCTCTGACTGTTTCCTGTGGTGGTCTCAGGTGTACTGGAGTCTGTGGGTGAGGATTGGCTGGGAGAGGCCAGGTTGATCGCCAAAGTCCCTGGAATGGACTGGCAGGATGATGCCTTGAGCTGTGGGGACAGCAACATCAGGAGAAGTCCCAGTCTCAAACCAGGGCTAGGCCTTTCCAGAAGTGTACAAGGAGCTGGGCTGTCTTGGTGGGCACTGGAAAGGAAGGCTATGGGAAAGGCAGGAGGTCACCTTTTCCTGGTCTTCTGAGGATTCTCCCATGAGGCTCCTGTTGAGCTCCGGGTAGGAGCTGGAAGCTCCTGCTGACTTCCCAGTGCTGTTGCAGTGCACTCCAGTGTTGTCTGTGCTGCTGGTGTCAGGGCCACACTTGTCCTGCTCCAATGACTTGAACTGGGAGCTGCCACTGGTACTGAGGCCAGTGCTCTGGGCCTGACAGCTTCAGAGAGGGGCCAGCTTACTGGAGTAAGGACACACCCTAACACCTGATCCTCTTTCCACTGGGAGCCTGGGACTCCATCCTAGGATCTTGGTCTATCACCATTTTCCCATTTCCCTCTGTGATGGATGAGCCATGAAAGAGGAGGCAATGGAGGCTCAGAGAGCCAGAACTGAGTGGCAGAAATGGGCTGCTCCGTGGAAAGACCTAAATCTGGGCCCCAAAGTCTGGCACCCGCATCCCAGCCCATTGGCTTCCCTGGCCCTTGCCCATCAGGGCCCAGGTCCTTACTTCTTGCAGACTTTGCAAATGCCAAAGTGCTTCTTGGGAGGAAGGCTTGCAGTGTCAGTTTGCCTCTGGGGCTCCAGTGCACATGACAGGTCATAGCTAAGACAAGGGTGGCTGTGAGGTGATCAAGGTGGAAGCTTGGGGTCCTCCCGTTGCCTGCCTGCAATTCAGAGCTTGCTGCCCAGCTCCTGACCACCCTATGTATGTGAGGCCTCAGGTAAAGACCTCAGGCCCTCAGGATGTCACCCCATCCTGTGTGCCAGGCTCCAGTCACTGGTCCACTGTCCCCCCAACTCACCTGGCTTCCTCGCTGAGCCGCTCCAGGCTCCTGAACCAGGCCAGAAAATTCTCATTTGGTGTGATATGGTCATAGCTGCAGCTTGACTGTAGCTGCTTCAGTTGCTCCATGATTGTATATTCCTGGCCGGCAAAGCATGAGGATAGGGAACAGGTTTGTGCTGTGGTGGCCGGGGAATGACCCACTTGCGAGGATTGTCCTGGGAGTCTCTTGCTTAGGGGTGGTAGCAGGCTGCTCTGTGCTGTCATATCTGGGTCCACACTCAGTCACAGTGGGAGCTCTGCCGGCTCCCACTTCACACTCCCAACCTGCCTTCTGGAAGATCTTGTCTCTGCACCAAATGTCCCCATACATCACAGGGGCTGGGGAGGAAGTGAGCTGACTCCATTGCCGGTCCCCACCCACTCAGGAAGGGCACCTGAAACTCACCTTTCGCAATTTCTCATAATGGATGATTCCCTCCTAGAAGGCACACAGCAATGTGAGTAGCAAGCAGTCCCTCCTCCAGTTCTCTGTATGTCAAGGGCTGCTCCATCTCCAGGGAGTGGGGGCTCCTCCATGGGACTAAGGACATCTGTCCTGTGGGACCTGGACACCTGGCCCAAGAGATTCTGGGACCTAATTGTTCAACACGTCTGAGACATTGGAGAGACTGAGGCTTCAGGCGAGAAGGCTCACTGGCCCACAGTTTGCCTCTGCTTTGTCCCTCTACTGTCTCCTCCACCCAACCCTTCCTTACCTCCACTTCCCCCAGAGGGACTGGCAGAGCCCACTGTGCCCTGTGTCTACACCTTAGGGCTCAGCTTAGCATTTTCTGTCCCAGCCCCAGCCTCCAAGTTGGGTCGAGGCTACTCACATCCAGGAAATCCCTAAAGGCAGTGTCAATCATCCTGAAGTCTGATAGGAATGTTTCCAGGTAGGGAATGGTGCCCTTGATCCTAACCTGTGGGATTGGGTGGGCTGATGAGCAAAGGCCTAGGGGCCCTCCTCCCAGGGCTTCTTAGCCAGCCTCCATCCTCACAGGGCCTTTCATGGAAGAGTAAGTTGAGGAACCTCTGGCCACCTCTGTCAGAGCCCCTTCTTGGCAGTTGGCATTGCAAACAGCATCAGGTTGGCAATTGCACATCCCCAAGGTAGGCAGCCACTGAAGCTCCTCCCCCCACCACGTAGGCGCTGCCATACTGGGTCAGGTGGCTACCACTCCTCCTTTCCCTCTGGTAGCTTCTCAGGACAAAGGATTGCCACGAGAAGCCCATGGCTATGGGGTTATTTTAGGCAGAAGGGCAAAAGGTGAGAAGGGCAGGCACATGTTACTTCTCTCCTCTCTCTCAAGCCCCCTTGGTGCCTTTAGGACACAGTCACTCACCATCTCCTCTGACTGCTTCTGGCCTCTCTTGGCCTTCTTGTCCTTGGAGGCAAAGTCGCAAGGCTCCTGTCATGATTGAGAGGAGAGCAACTGAGGCAGGTGTCCTCTTATCCTTTGTCTCCAGCCCTGGGGACATCGAGAGCCCTGGACATATGTGCCAAAGCTCCTGCCAGCTGGCTGCTCATTTCTAGTTCAGACTCTGCTCCAGCACTCACTGTTGTGGATTCCCAGGGGAGTGATCTGCCCTCCCTCTGCCTGCTTCTTCATCTGCAAGGTGTACATGCAAATCTCCAGTCAGTGAGTGCTCCTGTTTGTGTCTGGTCCTGAGAGGAGTTGGATCCCAAAGGGAGAGGGCCAACCAATGTGCTAGGGGATTTAAGGTGTGCAATCTGCTGCTGCTTTCCATAGAAGCTGCTGGAGAAGTGTGTGAAGATGTGCTCCATGAGTTTGTATGACATTGTCTCTCATTTCTCCTTGTGTTTGTATGTTTTTTTTATTTTTGTGGTTCACAGTACTAACCCTTGAACTACCACTTCACTTCTGGGTATTCATGGTTAATTGAGTGCTGTGGATTTGGCTCCCAGTCATTTGCAGTTAGGATTGCAGGGAGGAGTCAGCAGTGCCTGACCACCCTTGCCATGAAAGTAGCCAAGTCGCCCTCAGCTCCCCTGTGTAGTGTGGCCATCAGCAGTGTCTGATCTAGGAAGATCACCGAGAGACAGAGCTCTTCTAGGTAAACCTGCTGAGTCTGGATGTTTGGATCCAAACCTAATGGACACCAGGTCTTTTGGCCCTTAGGACAGCCCTGAGATATCCCATGCCTCACCCCTGAGCAGTGCAGCTAAGAAGTTAGTGCCTTCAGAACTTAGCACCTTCAGCAGAAAGGCATCAGTAGCTTCTGACTTTCATAGTAGCCCTCAAGAGGCTGAGATCTGAGGATCCCAGTTGAAAGCTTGCCTGAGCTAGAGTCAGTGAGACTGTGATCTTGAATTAATTACCAAATACTGGAGTGGAGATGTGACAGAATTGTTCTGGTAGAGCACCAGCCTTGAGCACAAAAGCACAATGACCGCACTTATGCTCCAGAATGGGCACCAAGAAAAATGAATAGAACTTGCTATTGGAACTGTGTCTCTCTTGTGCCCCCAAATCCCTGTTTCTTCTCTGCCCACTTCCCACTACCTGGAATAGCAGCACTTTGGTCCTGAAGTAATAGCACGCAGGAGAAATGATCTCTGAGAGCTTCTGGAACACCTGCAAGCTGTCTCTGCAGGAGGGGCAGAGAGAAGGTGACAAATGGGGAGGAGAGAGAGAAGGGACTGGAACTTCATCTGGGTGTAGAACCAGGCCTGCCAATTCCCTGGACACGAGGTTTCCAAAGGATTGCATGGAGCCCCCAATGACCCAGGAGCCTGGAGCGATTTCTTCATCCTGGCCTGATGGAGGCCACCCCACTTGTATTAGGCAACTCTGCTTGGATTCCAACTGGACAGAGATCTCTGACTACCACAGCAAACCTGGGAAGCTCATGGGTCTCTTCCTGCTTGAGGCAGACAGGGAGCTGAATGCTGCCAAAGGGTGAACAAGCAGAGCGTAGGCAGCAGCCCAGGTCATGCACGATTGGGCGTGGGGCTGAACGAGGGTCAAGCTGGCCAGGCCTTGAGTGTCCACAGCTCCTGTGGAGAGGGAAACCCACCTGGAGACCTCATGCCATGTGTTCTGCATGCGCTGCATGGCCGTGCTCTGCAGAGCAGAGACGATGGCATGGAGGGAGGAGAAGTTCCTCAGGACTCGGCATTCCTGCAGAGGAAGAGTGTGTGAGGCTTGCCTGCTACTGCGGCCACCTCATGTCCTGCTCCCCACGGGCAGAGGGATGCTAGGGAGCTCGGAGAGATTTGGCAAGGCATGAGAACTGACCAGGCCCTGTTGGAGGTCTCCCTAAGTTCTGAGTGTGAGGAAGGAGTGAGCACCAGCTGCTTGCTGGATGGGCTGTGGGTGGCCAGGCAGCATGGCCCTCGCAAGGAGGGACTGGGGTCCGCAGAAAGCTCTGAGCACATTGCAAAGGCTCAGAGTGCAAGAGGTTAAAGGGAGAGTGCCTGGGCAGCGGCTGTGGCATACCATGGCCACCATGATCCAATGCTCCAGCACACGCGCCCTGTTGCAGGCCTGCATGCTGTGATCTCCAACGCAGGTGGTGAGGACGCAGGAGAAAACTCTGTGGAACTGGGTAAAGGTGGCCCGGATGGTGGGGGCCAAGTTCTCCATGTCCTTTTTGTCCCTCTGGGAACAGACAGAGAGCAGGCAGTGGTGGGGCAGCACCTTCTGGAACAGTTCCTGTGAAATGGATGAGTGTCTCTCCTTGGGCAGGCCCGGACCAGAGTAACCAAGTCCAGATTGGCATCCTTCAGTTGGGCATGGAAGTCAGGCTATGGAGGGGTCGTCTGGAGCTTGTGGGAGTTTCTAGGCATGGTGTGCGCTACACTTGCGTTAGTCTACCTCACCTCCGTGTCTGCTGCCCACTGTGACTCTGCCCGTGTGGCCCAGGGAGCATCTGTGCCCTGACCCAGCCACCTCATGTCTGTGTGTTTGTTAGCAGGCACAGATCCTACTTCTCTGGCTCTTTTGATGTCTGTACTAGGCTCTGGTAGACACCAGGTGCCTAGTGGGTGCTGTGGCTCAAGAGGTACCTGGCAAATGAGGGTGAGCTGTGGGCCAGGTTGCACTTCTGTTCCAGTGCCCCATTTCTCACAGTCCCTGGGAAGGGCCTGGGTGTCATCTCCACTACAGTGACTGTCCCAGACAGAGTGAGCCATGGTGGAGCTTGGTCTGGATGAACCTTGGGCTCTCAGGGAAGGAACAGCATGAGAAGGCAGCAAAGCGCAGAAGGAAGCCTGCCCCTCCGCCACGTGCCGTGCCCAGCCCTCACCGCATCCATCCACGTGAGCTGCTCTGCCACCAGCGGGGGAGGGAAGGCCAGGACATCAGGCTTCTCCTTGCTCAGCACATTCTCTGTGGTCCCTGAAGGAGGACAGGAAGCTTCGTGTGAAGGAAAGGATGCTGGGTGCCGCTCCGAATCGACAGATATGTAGGGAGCCCACCTGAGCTGTGGAGCAGGTGCCCAGGATGATTTGTGCACCAGATAAATATGGATTAGATGCTGTCTTGGGAGTCTACATGGAAGCCACCGGGGAATTGCCTCCAGGCAGGCACAGGATGCTGAAGCTCCCGTGCAAAGTAGCTCCAGAGGGCAGGGGGGAAATGGCTGTCCTTGCACAGCTGATGCTGGTGTTGTCATAGGATTGCTCACTAGAGACAAGGCTGAATTCAGCCCTTGGTCTGTCCCTGATGATGGTCTTCCCCGTGGGCTGCATGCCAGAGTCAGCAATGGAGCTGGATCTAGCTCTGGACTTGCATTTAGAACGAGCACTGGGGTTAGTGGTGGAGCTGCAGGAGGAGACACAGCCTCTCCATTCTTGCATTGTGCTGAGTCTTTGAGTAGACAAAGGAGACCCTCTTCCCTGTGCCTCCCCAACCTGTCTCCCTCCCCTCCCCGGGTCCTATTCTTCACCTTTCCTGCTCCCACTCTGTGTTTCAGGCTCCTCTTTCGTCCTGGGCCAAGGCCAGGTTTGGAGCCTGCTCCCAGCAGGGGTCCACACCATTTGCTCCCTATTTTCTCTGCATCCCAGTCCCATGTTCCACACCATCAGGCTCTGCCTGGCTTTGTTCTTGGGCCTCCATCTGAGCCAGGAGAAGGTGGGCACGGCCCTCCACGTCCGTTCCTGCCATGTAGACCTTCAGGTGAGCCAGGAGCTGCCTGAGACAGGGAAACTGCGGAGGCTGGCAGAAGTCCTCCCAGTACTGATCCAGCCACATGCCCAGGATAGATGAGATGGCACTAGGGGCAGATGGTGGGCATCACAGTCAGAAACCTGGGCCAGTGCTCCCACACTCCCAAGCCACACTCAGCACCCTTGAAGAAGCTGGACATAAGTGCCTTGTCTGTCCAGCCTGAGGCTAGTACACCCCATCCCAGGCAGCTTTGGTGGTGAAGGTAGTGGCAGGCCAGGGAACCAAGTAGGGACTCGAGGTAATGTCCAGGCAGCCAGCCCACAATGTTATGAGCAGCTCTCTTCTCTCCAGGAAGCCCCACAGCCTCCTGCCTCTCTCCAACCTGTCCCAAATGACTATAGTGTCCATGAGGGTCTGTTGTAGGTCTGGCATGCATCGTCTCCTGGTTCACATCAGCTGGTGGCTGCTGCCTCAGTCCCCATGAGCCGCATGTGGGCTGTCTCCCCACCACACGCTTCTGGTTGGCCAGCCTGGCCCTGCACTCTCACCGACAGTCCTAGATCAGCTGAGGGCCTATGACTATGCAGCGATAGCCTAACCCTCCTTGGGATCCCCTGGCCAGGGAGGGCAAGCTGGGCTCTGTGGCTCTGGGGAGGATGGACTGTCACAGGGCTCAGCTCTGAGCTGAAGCCTCCACCAGTTTCCTTCCACAGCTTTCTTCCTCCTGCAGAGAAAGTTCACACCTTGGCCCTCTGGTGAGAATCCTGAGTTGTGTGTTCCAGTGCTTGCCTATACCCTAATACTCAAAACTGGCACCATTGTGGGAAAAAATGCCCTCTTTGGAGACCCAAGTCCACTCACTTTCTGAGTTGGTCCTGTTGCATGCCATCCTGGCTGGAGCAAGGGAGGATTTCATCCTGTTTAGAAGACTCTTGGAGAGCCTCACACCTAGTGAAACTGTGAGGAATTTGAGAGTTACTGGCTGTCTGTCCATGTGTTGAAGCCTGCCTGCAACCATCAGGATTTTCTAGGTTCAGTGCCTGGGAACAGCCATGACACCCTAGGGGCTTCCTCTCCATGCAGTGGAGGAGGACCACCAGTCCTTCCCTGATAATCCTGTGCTTCCTGCCCCTCACTCTGCCTTTAGCCACCCTTGCTCTGTCTACATCTTGGTTAGAAACCCTCCTCCTAAATGGACAGACTGCTTTGTCTGGAGGCATTTAGCTGTTTCCTGAGAAGGCCACAGACATGAGCCCACACTCCCGGGTAGCACACAACACAGGGGCATGCTTGGCAAGCGCTTCCAACTCTCGTTTCACATGGCCCTGGCACAGTCTCTGGTCACCTCCTCTTTCCACAATCCAAGTAGCCCTCAGAGATGGGCAGGTCATTCCCAGGCTCAGTCTGGAGGAAAGCAGCCACTGACCTTGGAGTTGTTGCTCACCTTTGGAACAGCAGGTCCAGTACCTGCTGGGGTTTGGCAAATTTTCGGTAAGTGGATAGGAAGGTGGGGACGAAGAAGTGGTCCCCGGTCAGCTGGGCAAGCACCAAGTGATCCACCAGCTGCTCCAGTGTGCCTGCCCTGCAGGCCTCCTCCTGGCTTGGGGCTACATCCTGCAGTGGGACCAAGGAGGAAGAGTTCAGGTTGAAACTAGGTGACCAGAGAAGACTCCTTGCCATACACTACAGTGAATTACTTGAAAAGAAATAACTAATCACTCACAAGTGCACATGCATGCATGCACACAAGCATTCACACGCATGCACACACACACACACACACACACACACACACACACACACACACACACACACACACACACACCATACATGGAGGGGAGTGCTGATGATGGTCAGGAGAATCAGGTGTGTTGTGCTGTTTAGTCATTCACTGCCCTGGGCCTCCCCAGTCACCTGTGGGGTCCTAGAGCAACATCTCCAGAACTGTCTGTGTCCAGGGCTGGCCCAGGGTCTACACACATGGGCCAAGCACCCTCTCCTCTCTTCCTGGAGGCCTGAGGCTCTATGATTTTTGAAACACCCGGCAAGCATCTCCTGAATGTCGGTTAGCCATGCCAGTGAGCTGCGTGAGGCTTGTGTTGACTGTGGCTGCTGGGATACCAAGGTTCTAAGTTGCATTCTGAAGGAAGTGAGGTCATCCCTGGAGGTCCCTTCACTTGAGCCCTTCCTTCTGACAAAACCTCCCCAAATGGCTCCTCCTCTCACCTCCTGCTTGCCCTGAGCATGAACACATATCTCCACCCCATTACCTCGTCCCCAGATAGGCCTGGGGACGGCAGACACCACCTTGTAGGAGATACAGTTGGGTCCTAGGCCTGCTGCTGCCCAGGCCTTAGCTATTTCCCCTCAAGTTCTACTATACTCAGCACATGAATTCTCAGAAAGGCAGTTTTCACCTTTGGGTGGCTCTGTCTCTCCCTTGTTCCTTATTCCTCTCTCCTTCCTTCTGTGTCTGTCCCCTCTCATCTCTCATTCTAAGGATCCTGTGAGACACTATGGGCTTCCCAGTGGACAGGCCTCAGGGCTCAAGCCCTACCATGTCCCAAGCAGCCAAGAGAAAAGCACCAAGGCTCAGCCCAAAGTGTTGTGGCCTCTGACACAGAGTCTCTCTCTATAAAGGACACAGCCCCTTCCTCATGGGGACCTGAGAGTTGAGGCCTGGGATGAACATGCCTGCCTGTGGGAACAAAGCAACTGTGACTTCCTCATTGTGTGGCTGTCAGCAGTGGGTTATGGGAAGGCTTTTCAGCAGGGACAGCTGATGTCATTTCCAGGCCCTGGAATCAGCCTTGGCCATCCCCCCCTTTCCTGTCTCTTCAGCCACACTGGCCTCTTTTCCAACATGGACACATCTGTGCTTCTGCTCTCTACAAAGACTCCAAGTTTGTAAGTCAGAACTTTATTCTGCACTCTCAAACTGATTTGAGAATTCATCTGTTCACTTTGAGTTATAAGTCAGGTTCAGACAGGCCTGAGTGTGGGAACCCACAGCACAGCCACATCCCATAGCAAGAAGGTTTGTGAATCCAACCGAGCCACAAGGAAAGCTGACCACCATGCAGAAATAAAAGACTCCACCAAAAGACTGAATAGTGGACACCGGGGAGATAAAAGCTTCCTCAAAGTTTTCACTTTTGGGTGGCTCTGTGTCTCTCCTGCCTTCTTTTCCTCCTTGTCCCCAGAGGGCTTGTCCTGGGCTTGAGAGGCTGGATGGGGCAGTACGTCCTCCTATGGGTGGTGAGTGAGAGGATAAGCCAGCTTCCTGCCCATGGTCAGGGTGCAGAGGTTGCAATGCAGGCTGACTACAGTCGGACAGTTTGGATCCCATATGCTGTTGGCTGTTGCCAAGATCCCCTCACACACTGTGTTGCCATAATTGGACACCACTGTTCTGTTGGTGTCTCTTTTTTGACCAGGCAGGTCTGAACAGGGATGCTCGTATTTAATGTCTCCAGTGTGGCTGGGATGACAGATATGAATTACCAAACCCAGCTTTTGTTTTTGTTCTGTCCTGGTGCCAGCTCTGGTTCTTGAATTCAGGATCTAGGCAGTGTCTCTGAATAGTTTTGTTCAAGGCTATCACTCTATCACTTCAGCCACGTTTCCACTTGTAACATGTTTTTAGTTCATTGGAGATAAGTCTCAGGAACTTTTCTGTTAGAACTGGCTTGGAATCTCGATCCTCACATCTCAGCCTTCTGAACCGAAAGGATTACAGGATGATGCAATTAGACTAACAAGTCAAAATGAAAAAAAAAATACAATCTTAATCACAGACAAACAATTAGGGATCAATGCACTAAAGAAAACAAAGGAGGAGAGAAGGGCCAGAAATGGAAAACAGGCTACAATGAAATTAACAGAAATATTAAGAGATTGTTCTCACTAGAGGGAGAAGCAAATAAAAATAGAGGAATAAAGAATGGGAAGGAAACAGAAAGAAGAGAATTAAGACCTGCAAAAAAGAAAAAAATAATAACAATTATATATAAAAGTAATAATATAAAATTTAAAAATACTAAGAATAACAGAGAAATAGAACATTGAGCATCAAAAATATAGCCATAATTAAGTATGCACACAATTAAGACAGATGCCTAGTAATCACTTGTAGACCGTATATCTAAAACAAAACAGCAATGAAAAAGGAAACAAAAAGAAAGTGTTTTCCAATTTGTTTTTTTTTATTGTGAAAATACTGTACAGAGGGGGTTACAATTACATGGACAAGATAATGAGTACATTTCTTTTTTTTTATTGTGAAAATACTGTACAGAGGGGTTACAATTACATGGGCAAGATAGTGAGTACATTTCTTTCTTTCTTTCTTTTTTTTTTTTTTTCTGGGTCTGGTCATGGGGCCTGAACTCTGGGCCTGGGCGCTGTCCCTCAGCTCTTCAGCTCAAGGCTAGTGCTCTACCACTTGAGCCACAGTGCCACTTCTGGCTTTTTTCTTTTTGCTTATGTGGTGCTGAGGAATCAAACCAGGGCCTCAGGCATGCAAGGCAAGTGCTCTACCACTGAGCCACCTTCCCAGCCCCAGTGAGTACATTTCTTATCAAGCATTGTAGCCTCCTCCTTTGTTTACCCTTCCCATCCCTTCCCAACCTCCCCGTTGCCCCCCCACCCAATCCTCCCCACCCCCCCACCAAAGTTGTAAAGTTCATTTTCAACATGACAACTTGTACTTCTCATTGTTGCAACTGGTCCAACCTGTAAATGAGTACATTTCTTATCAAGCATTGCTGCCTCCTCCTTTGTTTCCCCTTCCCATCTGCTCCCCCCCACCCAACCCTCCTATACCCCTCCCCAACAAAGTTGTAAAGTTCGTTTTTGACATAATGACTTGTACGTCTCATTGCTGCAATGGGTCCACCTGTATCCCTATTTAAACCATTTGCTTTTTCCCTTTCCCTCCACAAATTATACCAACATCAAATACAGTGAAAGCAGGGGTTATACAGTGGGGGAGGGACATACAAAGCAACAAAGAAATAATCTTATAAATGTGTTAGAAACAATCGCATGAAAGAAAAAAAAAACATTTGAATACCTATCTTAGGGTTCATTTCCCTAACATCAACTTATGTGGTATATATACACAATGGAATTCTATGCCTCCATCAGAAAGAATGACATTGCCCCGTTTGTTAGGAAATGGAAAGACTTGGAAAAAATTATATTAAGTGAAGTAAGCCAGGTGCAAAGAAACATAGGTCCCATGGTTTCCCTTATTTGCAATAACTAGTGTTTTCCAATTTGTTTGAGGAATCTTTTCTCTCCCCGATGTCCACTATTCCGTCTTTTGGTGGAGTCTTTTATTTCTGCATGGTGGTCAGCTTTCCTTGCGGCTCGGTTGGATTCACCGGCCTTCTTGCTATGGGGATGTGGCTATGCCGTGGGTTCCCACACTCAGGCCTGTCTGAACCTACTTATAACTCAAAGTGAGCAGATGAATTCTCAAATCGGTTTGAGAGGGCAGAATAAAGTTCTGACTTACAAACTTGGAATCTTTGTAGGCCTCTTCCCAGCCTAACTTAGTGGGAGGAAGGATTTGCTGTGTGTGGTAGACCAAGAGGGATGTGGCTGTTTTCTGCCACTTAGAATCTCTGCAGCAAGCGTGGGGGGTGGGGGTGGGGGTGGGACTGAGTCGTCTAGAATCCATGGCTTTCTCTAGAGTGGCTAGCTCCAGGCCCTCCTTTTAGCCCAGCCTGAATTCGCCCGCAGCTTTTCCAACCTGTCCAGTCTAGCGAGATTTCAGATTCTTTTGGCTTTGTAATTTCAAGGTGCCAGGTCCTTTGCTGTTGAGGGCCGAGGGCTGCCTCTCCCTGGACAGGGCTACCTCCCCTCTTGGTGTTTCTTTTTCTTTTCCACCAGAGAGGAGAGGTGTAACCACCTCAGATTCCTTTGCCCTCTTCAAAAATATTGATGCTTCCCTGGCAAGTCTTGTCAGCCAGATGCTCTGCAGGCTTTAGGCCACTTCCAAAGATGGTGTGCTTCCCGAGGAGCAGGAGGGTTTCCTTCCAGAGGAAGGGAGGTAATCACGCTTTCCCTTGGTGTGTTGGACCATCTGCTACGTGACGAATTGTCTCTGCACCCCTCTGTGGCTGGCTGGGATGTGGATTCCCATTCCCGGACTTTAAATTCATGCTGGAGGTGAGTGGAAAACTCATGGGCACGTGATCGCTGTCACTGCTGCTGCCACCTCTACTGTGGCTCCCTAGGCCACCACCATTGCCAGCGGGCGCTTGCATCTGTCTTCTTATGCAGGGAGCTTACAACTTTCTTCTTTGATATAAATCTCTGTATAAATATAACTTTCAGAATGGGACTGTCTAGATGCACATAGCTTGGTGGGACCCAAAAAAAACTCTGCATCTTCAGACAGAGCTCTGTTTGTTAACTTTCTGCCATCTTACCTACGCCATCTTTTATCATTTTTATATAGGGTTTTTTTTGGGTATATCTTAATTTTATGATTCACTTCAAATAAAATGTTATTTCTACTGAATTAAAGGTTTATTGAAAATTAGCATTTGTGTTGAAGTAATATGATTGTTAATCCATTATAAATTATTGAAGGCTGACATTTG